TCTGTCACACCGTAGGCTATGGTGCTGATCTCTCCTGTCTGTCACACTGTAGACTATGGTGCAGAGCTCTCTTGTCTGTCACACTGTAGACTATGGTGCTGATCTCTCCTCTCTTCACACTATACACTGTGATCATGAACTCTCCTCTCTGCCATACTGTTGATACTGGTCCTGATCTTTCCGCTCTGTAGGCTCAGATCCTGCAGGAGTTTATGCAGGAAGTTGAAACAAGTGGGTGTGATCCTTGACAAATATTTTGCATCAATATTCACAAAGGAGAAGGACATGGTGGTTGGTGAGTCTCGGGAAGAGCTTGTCGATATTCTGGGGTATGTAATTGTAAAAAAGGAGGAGGTTTCAGTGTTTTAAAAAGCATTAGGGGTAGATAAGTCCCCAGGACCTGATGGGATCGATCCCAGAATGCTGAGGGAAGCAGGTGATGAAATTGCTGGGGCGTTGTACAAAAGCTTTCTATCCTTCTTAGTCACAGGAGAGGTCCCAGAGGACTAGAGAATAACCAACATTTTTCCATTGTTTAAGAAGGGCAACAGGGACAATCCAGGTAATTACAGGCCAGTGAGCCTTACGTCAGTGGCAGGGAAATTATTGGGAAAAATTCTTAGGAAAGGTTTTACTCAGATTTGGAAAAATATGAACTTACTAGCGATAGGCAGCATGGCTTTGTGTGGGGAAGGTGGTGTCTCACAAACCTGATTGAGTTTTTAGAGGAAGTGACAAAGATGATTGATGAGGGTAGGGTGGTAGATGTTGTCTACATGGACTTTAGTATGGCCTTTGTCAAGGTCCTTCATGGCAAGATGATATAGTCATAGAAGACAGAGTAGTGGTGGAAGGGTGTTTTTTGGATTGGAGATCTGTGACCAGTGGCGTTTCACAGGGATTCCGTGCTGGAACACTTGTTATTTGAAAGACTGGGTGAGCTGCATATGGTAAAGAAGGTTTGCCTGATGATACAGCAGGATATAGATAGACTGGAGACTTGGACGGAGAAATGCCAGATGGAGTTTAATCTGGACAAATGCAAGTTGATGCATTTTGGTTGATCAAATGCAGGAGAATAGTATAAAGTTCATGGCAGAACTTTTAGTAGCATCAACATACAGAGGGATCTAGATGTATAGGTCTGCACTTCCCTGAAAGTGGCAATACAAGTGGATAAGATGATCAAGAAGGCATAAGGCATGCTTGCCTTCATCGGTCAGAGCATAGAGTATAAATATTGGCAAGTCATGTTCCAGCTGTCCAGAACTTTAGTTTGGCCACATTTGGAATATTATGTACAATTCTGGTCACCACACTAACAGAAGGATGTGGAGGTTTTGGAGAGGCTACAGAGATGATTTACCAGGATGTTGCCTGATCTGAACGGTATTAGGCTCAATGAGATATTGGACAAACTTGGTTTGTTTTCAGTTGAATGTCAAAAGATGAGGGGGTAAGCTGATAGAAGTTTACAAAATTATGAGGGCGTGGATAGAATGGATAGTCAGAGTTATTTTCCCAGGGTAGAAATGTCAATTACTAGGGACATAGGTTTAAGGTAAAAGAGAGTAAGTTTAAAGGAGATGTGAGAGGCAAGATTTTATGCAGAGGGTGGTAAGTGCCTGAAATTTGCTGCCAGAGGAGGTGGTGAAGGCAGATACAATAGCAATGTTTAAGCAACATCTTGATAGATGTATAACTAAAGCAGGAACTCAAGGTATATGGACCATTTAGAAGCAAAAGGTTTCTAGTTTAGAAAGGCATCATATGTCAGCACAGTCATGGTGTGCTGAAGGGCCTTTTCCTGTGCTATACTGTTCTTTGTATCATTGTTCTTTGTTCTTGTTTTCAATCCCCATTGATAATTACTGACCTACAATCCACAAACGCACATCACAGTGCCCTCTTTATAAGCTTCACTCTAAAGAGCTTGAACATTTGCAATTTAACTGGATTGTGTCATTCTACATATCTATTACTCTGAAGGAAAACATCTTTCTTCTGACCTTCACTCTTGGATCAGATTTGGTTGTTTTCCTCCCATTTTCTTCAGTTTGGTAATTAACAGTGTAATTTTAAAAACTTGCTAACATCTAATGCAGCCAAAACTCAACAACTAACTTTCTTGCTAATTACAAACTGGCATTCAGTCAATTTTCTACCACCTGATTATCCAAACAGAGTGGAAATTTTCCTGTCGATAATTTCAGTGAAAAAAGATTGATACAACTGCAAAATAGGATTTCTGTCATTTCTTATTTAATTAACAGGAAGCACCTCACTCTCAACAGTCCTTGTTAATTGCCATTATCCTTTTGTTCCAGAGAATGTCCAAGATTGTGACTGTTTTTGGTGCTGACAAGTGTCAAGGGAAAGCTGTAGCCACCGCCTTGCTCCAAGATGGTGATTTCACAGTGCGGGCTGTAGTTCAAGAGTTAAACTCTCCCACCACTCAGGAACTGCAAACAGCAGGGGCACACCCATTACTCATAGACTTCAACAATCCTGACAGCATCAGCGCCACTTTGTGTGGTGCACACAAGTGCTTTGTCATCACCCATACAGATTTCAACAACAAGGATCCTCTGAGGGTTAGTCATATTATTACGGTACTTTCAAGTAAGAGGTGATGGTCTAGTGGTATTATCACTGGACTAGTAATCCAGAGACCTAAGTAACATTCTGATGACCTGGGTTCAAATCCTGCCACAGCAGATGGTAGAAATTGAATTGTGCCAATTGCAATTCAATGAAAATCTGGAATTCCTGATTATCAGGGAAAAACTCATCTCAGTCACAAATGTCCTTTATGGAAGGAAACTGCTGGCCTGGTCTACATCTGACTCCAGACTGTGTAATTAGTGATGGTCAATATAATAATAAACATCTAAATGTAACCAAAATAAATTATTTCATATGCTGGAGATTGAAAATAAAAACAGGACTGGATCTGCTGAGTTTCACCAGCACTTTTGGTTTTATTAAACATCAAAACATAATTGCTTCCACAGCTAGAGATGATATTAACTACATATGCAGAAAGACATTCGTGCTTATACTGCTGAGGGGGGAGCTGTTTTTTTTTTATTCATTTGTGGGAAGTGGGCATCGCTGGCTGGCCAGCATTTCTTGCCCATCCCTAGGTGCCCTTGAGAAGGTGGTGTTGAGCTGCCTTCTTGAACCACTGCAGTCCTCCTGCTGTGGGTTGACCCACAATGCTATTACGGAGGGAATTCCAGGATTTTGACCCAGTGACAGTGAAGGAACGGTGATATATTTCCAAGTCAGGATGGTGAGTGACTTGGAGGGAAACTTGGAGGTGGTGGTGTTCCCATATATCTGCTGCCCTTGTCCTTCTAAATGGAAGTGGTCATGGGTTTGGAATGTGCTGTCTGAGGATCTTTGGTGAATTTCTGCAGTGCATCATGTAGATAGTACACACTGCTGCTACTGAGTGTTGGTGGTGGAGGGAGTGAATGTTTGTGGGTGTAGCGCCAATCAAGCGGTCTGCTTTGTCCTGGATGGTGTCAAGCTTCTTGTGTTGTTGGGGCTGCACTCATCCAGGCAAGGAGGGAGTATTCCATCACACTTCTGACTTGTGCCTTGTAGATAGTGGACAGGCTTTGAGAAGTCAGGAGATGAGTTACTCGCCGCAGTATTCCCAGCTTCTGGCCTGCTCTTGTAGCCACTGTGTTAATGTGGTGAGTCCAGTTGAGTTTCTGGTCAATGGTAACTTCCAGGATGTTGACAGTGGGGTATTCAGTGATGGTAACACCACTGAATGTCATGGGGAAGTGTCACAGCCTGGCATTTGTGTGGCGCGAATGTCACTTGCCATTTGTTAGTCCCAGCCTGGATATTGTCCAGATCTTGTTGCATGTGAACATGGACTGCTTCAGTATCTGAGGAGTCACGAATGGTGCTGAACATCATGCAATCATCGGTGAATATCCCCACTTCTGACCTCATGCAGGAGGGAAGATCATTGATGGAGCAACTAAAGATGGTTGGGCCTAGGACACTACCCTGAGGAACTCCTGCAGAGATGTCCTGGAGCTGAGATGATTGACCTCCCACAACCACAACCATCTTCCCATGTGTCAGGTATGACTCTAACCACTGAGCATTTGTCCCCTGACGCCAGTGAATCCAGTTTTGCTCGGGTTCCTTGATTCCACACTCGGTTGAGTGCAGCCTTGATATCAAGGGCTGTCACTCTCACCTCACCTCT